AGCAGTGGAAAGATTTTGATGTTCCAGCTATAAATTCTTTTCCTTAGAAAGAAGCCAGTAACCCACTAAAATGAATGGTGTTCCTTTTAATAGAATGCGTTGAAGACCAAGATCCTCAGACATTCATTGTTCATCTGCATAAGATGCAAGATTTAGGTGGCTGGAGGATACTTGCCCTAGAGTCTTAGACGAAGATGTTTACTGGTAACTGGCCCAGATTATTCACTTCAATAAAAGACGATTAAGAAGAAACTTTTTAGGAATCTAGAAGTGAATATGAATATTGAAGCTCCTGTTGCTAAAATTTCGTTTTGCATTAGAACTGCAGCATGCAAAGTCTTTAGGCCAAGAGCCACACTCCAAAAACTCGGTAAATAAAGAAGGCCTGAGTAGTACAAAGAGGTGATTAATTGTGTTAAGATTAGCTGCTACCTAGTCAAATTTTGAATCTTTTTATTTAAGGTTCTGTTTCCTAGAAGAGAAGGTCTTCTTCATCCCTATATAGTACATCTTTCTCAGTAATGGGACGCAGGTTCACTTGGAACCTTAACAAAGAATTCTGACAGAATCCACAAGCAATGTTTATTCTGGGTCCCCTAATTTTTGTTGTCTGTCCTGGTGTTTTAGATGGCTGGTTCAAGCAAACCATTAATTTCACAGAAGTCCCAATTCAGCTTTACTCAGCATAGGGAAATTAAACTACTCAGTGCTTCTTGGGGTTCTCTAGCAAAGGAAGCTCATTTCAACGCATTTGGCCCAGAGTGTCCTAAAAGCTGGGACTGGTCCGGAAGGCTTTAGATACTGCTAAATTAAAGGTGATCACCCTCTGCCTCCAACATTACATGAGCTTCTAGAAGCCTTGGGTGTAATCCTGAGAGACCTCTGAAGTGATTAGGGTTAATTTTAACATAATAGGAGGAGGACATTTTCAAATACTGATTACATGATTAGTATCTAAGTATTTCATACATTTACTTTTAGCTACATTTAAATAAAATCAGAGTGAATTTTTGTCTTAGTTTCTCCTACTGATCTTTCAAAGGCAGCCTGGGGCACATCCCTCAAATGTCTTGCCTTTGGTCCCAAAAAGGCTGAACCAGGGATGGTAGTCAAAATCCAACCATCTGAAGAATGCCAGCTCTATGAGAAAAGGCTTTTGCGTAGGTTGACGGGTGTGTTCTGCTTGGCTTTAGGTAAAAAAATAAGATAGCCAGAGATGAATCTGTTCATCTTTAAGAAATGCCTTCTTGTTAACAACTGTCTGTTCAGGGCAGGCCTAAACTTGATGTTTCAAGCTAGTCTCGCTAACTTGCTTGTTTTAACCCAGCCTTGTTGCAGCAGGTTTTCAGAAGGCAGTTGTTTTAGGATTCATTATGAAGGAAAGTGGCACAGAAGATACTTCTTTTCTTTGGTTTCTGATCTTTCCAAGCCTATAATATAGTGTTTACTACAGCAGGAAATATAGGCAATTCTCAAATTGTAAGTAAAATATTACTGTAGTTTCAAGGTGGACATTGTTCCGGGCTGCAGGCAACGCATTCAATTTTGTTCTTAAAGAGGATGTTGGGAGACAAAAAGGGGCTCCCTACACCAAGGCTGTAATTTTTCAGCTTCATAACAGAAGCTCATGAAAGCAGAAACTATCTGGAAAAAAAGAGCAAGATGGTTTTATGTAATGCAGAAACAACAAGATATCTTCAAAATATGTCATGTCTAAAAATGTGGAATTTAATGGTGGCAGGCAAGACAAAATCTGTAACTTAAAGCTTAGGATGTCCTGTACTGCTGATTGTCAAAAGCTAGAGATGAACAATAAAGCATGAGCAAGTACGTTGCATAAATTATCAAGATATGTCTGTCTCTGTAATTAGTTATACATTTCAGCATTTGGAACTGTCCAGTGTCAGAGACAGGCTGGGCCAGGGATCTTGACCCCATGTAATTATTTTCTTAAGAGGATGTCCTGCCTTTCCTGGAGGGAAGGACAATCATCCCTTCAGGAAAAGAGTCAGCGTTTTTTAAAATAGCATTTACTTTGGAAAGTAGAAAAACACTCTCCTAGTTAAAGAAAATAAAGTAAATTGTAATATACTGTCCCAATACAATCTTAATCCTTATCACTGAATATATTTCCCCATTAATCAGAATTATAATTCTGTGTAATTGGTTCATTTGCTCTACCAGTGAGCGCATTCTCTCTGCCAATTAATTACTGATTGCTGTTATTTTAGGAGCAGGCCATACAAAATCTCCTATTTAATCTTAACATTCCTGGTGTCTTAACCAAGCATCTGAAACATTTCTGTAATTTCTGAAAGACTATTGCTTAAACTTTGGAAGTGACTCTTATTGTTATATTATTTTCTTGAGCCATGCTAATGTAAAATACATTCATTTATTACATGCCCAGAAGGCTATAAATTTCCTTTAAATTTTACTGTATGTTTCTGGGAAAGCATATAAATGCCATATTTTTTACAAGTCCCAGATCATGCAACCAAGCATCTGAAACATTTCTGTAATTTCTGAAAGACTATTGCTTAAACTTTGGAAGTGACTCTTATTGTTATATTATTTTCTTGAGCCATGCTAATGTAAAATACATTCATTTATTACATGCCCAGAAGGCTATAAATTTCCTTTAAATTTTACTGTATGTTTCTGGGAAAGCATATAAATGCCATATTTTTTACAAGTCCCAGATCATGCATAC